ATATGTCGCAGCTAATATACGCAACAGCTGAAATAAGAAATAATAATCATTAATTCTTTATTACTTTACCATTGAGTTCCGTCCCAGTGTTCACAGGGATGGATAACTGTGTCTTCAGCAGGCGTAGAGCTAACAGAACTGGTAGCATTGCGAGGCAAGGCCTCAAACATGTACGGCTGGAAGCCTTTTACACCAAACGGAGCTTCTGCCTCCCTGGCCTCCTCTTCCACAACATCTTTGTCCCCGCTTTCCTCCTCTACATAAAAAATGTATGACGGAGGAGACTCATCCACAACCTCCGACACAAAAATCTCCTCCTCTTGCATGTTTCCGCTGTCCATAGCGTTCCTTGCCAGTGTCTTTACTAAGTCACCAATTTAGCTCTACTTGGTCCCAATGTAGTTTCCTACTAGCACTAAGTTGCTAACTGGTTAGCAATGATGCTTCCGAGAAACTGGCTACAATCAATCTTGCTTGCGAACCTTCTGCCACAAGAATACCACCCTACTGATAAACGACCAATTAAATTCACTTTAATCACTTGTGTAAAGTCGTGCACCACTCAGGAGAATTCGGGAATGCAACATTTGGAACAGCTGCTTCCCTATAACTTTAAAGTCTACTGTACTCCACTGTGTGCTGCACATCTGCAAACTGGTTACAGTAAGGCTAAGATGTATAAATCACAAGTTGCGTACAATGATGCACTTCAGATTCTACTGAAGGTCTCTCGTCGGACTATCTTGACCCCTAACAGTTAGCTGTGTTTCATTAGCTGAGTTAGAGGTATAGTGAGAATTAAATTTAAGTTATGAACAGGAATGGTAACTATTAAATAAAAGTAAGTTAGTAAGTGTAGTAGCTATAACAAATGTCAGTCCTTGTGATGTTCTACTTTGAGTAGAAGTATAAACGTATGTGTGTTGTCGTGTGTTAAAGTGCATGATGATAGACACCTAGCAGAAGAATCTTAAAGGTACACTATGCAACCGGTGTTGATTTTCCAGCGAGGCTCCCCCCAGAGGGCGAAAGTAAAAGTGCGCTGTCGTAAATATGCACAGCTGTTCTCCTGGTTTCTCCGTCAAGCCAGGCGCGGTTGTTTTGAGCTTAGCAGACAGGCGAACGCAACGACTAATGCTGCGTTCACACCACAGCTGGCGCGACAGAAGCAGCGAGTTTACATGCAAAGTCAATGGTTGACGCGCGTCAAGGCGCAGCAAAAGGTCCCATGGCGCGTTTTGAGCAGCAGGCCCAGCGCGTCTGAGCAGCTGAAGCAGGGAGAGAGACACAGCGCTGATGATCAGAGGCTATGATCTCTCCTCTTAAACAGTTTATTGACGCCTAAATTAACTTAAAATGCAGAAATCTGCCGGCAGAATATGCAGTTTGGATTATTTAGATAAAAAACACCTACCAGCTTCCGTGGTGAACCGCGAGGAGGCGACCTGGCCAGAGGCTGCTGATGAAGGGATTCCTTCTGTCGGCGCACCGCTGGTATGTGGGGGTCTGAGCGGCTCCGACAGAAAAAATATTGAAGGCAGGATAATAATCTGAATGAACTGACGGCACTGATTATGTTTTCAGCAGTGATGGGCAGTAGCGCTGCTACATGTAGCGAAGCTATTAGTTTAACTACATTTTCCAGTAGCTTGACCGTAGCGTCGCTGCTTTATTTATCAAGTAACTTTCCTGTAGCGACGTTATTGTTTTGATCAAGTAGCGACGTAGCGTCCACAAACGCTACAAAATCCAGGGAGAAACTAAGAAATGAAACCAGGTTTTCTATTTCTAAACAACAATCAGCCACAAAACTACTGTAAATAGCAGTTTCAGCTGACGCTCTTATAAGTGGCGTAGTAGCACAGGCACACTCAATAGGGTTAAACAAGCGCACCCTTTCCGAGGCTGTCGTTCTATTGGCTGGAAAGGTTGCTAGGCAACGATCCAACTGCAGTCTCAGAGAGCAAAACAAATCCGCAAGCAGAGCCTACGGGTTTGCGAATGTAACAGAGCGCGGTTTGTGCGCGAAGAGAAGGAGGCAAGCGAGAGGAGAAAATATCTGTGCAAGAAGCATTAAATCTGAGATAAGAAACAAAGATTTGAGAGAGAAGAGAAAATATTTGAGAGAGAGCGCATGTTTTGAGTGTGAGCATTATAAGTTTTGAGAGCAAGAAGATGAAATTCTTTTCTCTAATTGAAGTTATGTGCTCTTGCATTATGGCAGGATAATTCTCCCATATCTATGTGCCACTATACTCTAATTAGAGAGCAGTAGTCACACTTAGATATTGTATTTTCATGGCCTAGTTTACCTGACAGAATGTTTACATAAATCTGTTTTTAGGCTGTGCACAGATAAGATTTTTTATGGAGGAACAGCTCTACCGTATATAAAATAAATACATAAATAAATAAATGCTCAATAAATAAATAAATAAGCATTCAATTAATTGCCTCCAAAAATACAATGAATAAATATGTAGGTAGAAATTAAATTATATGGTGAGACATATATATATGTATCTCTTAATTAGCTTCTTTATTTTTTCACCTTCTTTTGTAAACAGTTTTGTTTGTTACTTGAATCAACTGTTTAATTGAGATCTTTTGTAGGGTTTTGTTTTCCCTAGAGATGTCCATTGAATGCAAACTCATAGCCATGTCTCGGTGTGTAGAACACTACACAGTACCTTTAATTTGGTTCTAATAACAGCAGATTGTTTACTAGTTTGTCTACTAGTAATTACTTTAGTTTTTATTTTAATATGCTGATCATAAAGCAATGTTTACACTGTGTTATGTCATTGGCTGATCTTTAATAAATATTTTAACCAGTGCATCAGACTCATTTTGAATTGACATTAGGTTGGTACAACGTTAAGTAGCTTCTGATGTAGTTAAGCTACTTTTAACACATTAGTGTAACTTAGCTTGCTATAATTCTTAAGGTGGTAGCTTTGGTGTAGTGAAGCTTAATTTATTGTTGAGTAACTGATAGCTTAGCTCACTACACTGGACAAGTAGCTTGCCCAACACTGGTTTTCAGGTGTATTTTCTCATTTAAACACATATTTAAACTACTTTATTCCAAATGATCACAGCAAATATAGCTGCAAGGCAGAGAAAGGATAGTGAAGCTCCGCCCAACGCGCGTCAGACACACTTTTGCACCGCGCAGCCAGAGCAGCAAAGCTGCTTCAGCCGCGCGTCAGAACTAACTGGTACAAGCAGCAAAAATGAAGCAGCAGACACGATTTTGCTGCTTTTGCTGCGTGAACGTAGCATAACTGCACAAAGATCGCCACTGTGCTAGCAACGAGAATGCTTTTAACTGGGGGGTGTAGCAGTTCTCGCCGTAAAGCAAGACTGACTCTCACGAGACTTCTGAGCCTGTGGGTGCGGGTCGGTGCTCCTGCAATTGCAAGTGCAGTATTTCCCCCACAGACCACCAGGGCGGCCGAGAATACCCTTGTTCAACCTGAAATGACTCATTTAATCATCCAAAACGTTATGGAACACATTAATTAACTGAAAAATGTTGCATAGTGTGCCTTTAAATGACAACATAAACTTTTATTAACTAGTTGCATAGGACAAATTTAGAAAAAATACCATCAAGCTAGCTGTTACCCAGGAATAGACGGGAGCAGGGCTAATGAGTGCTCAGCAGGTGGTGCTTATAAGAGAAAGTGGCAGCTTAGTCTAGCCTAGCCTGCCTTTATTAAAGCATGAAGAGTGAGCAGAAGGATACTAGTAATTATACATCAGATTGATATTTTGAGGTTTAGGATTATTAACCACATCAACACCAAAGGTTGAGGGAGATTTTGTGTTGCCCAGTATGCTAGATGGAGCCTTTTAGTTTAGCTACATCAAGGCATAGATTCAGTGATGCCCCTATTTGATGCCGCTAAGGAGACACAAATCTGAAAGGGGTCTTATTTATACCTGAACATGATGCTATGATGCTGAAGCCTATATGAGTGACAAAAGGATGTACTGTTTGGATCAACAAGAAATTTGAAATGCAGTATCCAAAGTACAGCCACTTAGGCTGTTACTAAAAAGGTTTTAGGACAATAGTTGTAGAACTAAATTATCTCACATGAAAAATTTAAATATTAGCACACCATATCCCTAGTTTATATAGTTAGAAATGCAAAAAAAAACTTTATTTGATAAGTTATCCTTTAATTAAAAAATTGCATAAAACATTATCATTTAAAGCTATAGTGTGTAATTTTCGGCGACATCTAACGTTCAGACTGCAGACCGCAGCAACATGAACATCTCCCCCCCACCGCTTCTCCCCCCCAACAGTGCAGCGAGCGTTACGGGACAAAATCTCTTCCACGACGTCCGCATCACCTACCTTCTCAAGTTATGGGGTTTGTTTACATAGATAATTTTAATACTGCCATCTATTGTTCAGTACCGTCTCAGTTCATCTCTCTCAACTTGCCGTAGTTACTTTCGAGCGTAATGGGCGATCTCGCAATCGCTAGTTTGTTGGCTCTGCGCTGCCGTAGCGCAAAGATGTCTGCCTCCATGGCTGCGAGACCCGCTCCTATGTAATTATTAATAACGAATTCTAAGGCAACGCAAATATTAAGGTTAAGAGGCTGAGCTCGTAGATGATGATAAATAACATAGTGATGTATAATATATTACATTTATGACTGTATATCCCTGTAATTATTACACACTGTAGCTTTAATAAGTCACATTTGTTAATATCTCTGATTCAATTATGTATTTTTACACATTTCTGTTCAATGACAGGTGTTAAAAGTGGATGAACAAACATATTCTTTGCATTTTGTTGCCTTAAATACTTCAACAACATATCGGAAGTGTAAATATTTATTTACTTTTTGCTAAGACAATATTTTTGCTGCATAAAACTATGATAAAAGCTGGTAAAATAGTGTTCCTATGATGTTAGCACAGTAGCATAGGGAGTCAAAAGCAATGTAAACATCAGGCTTTGTAATTCTTACCGTCAATTCTGTTGTCTTTGTCATCTTTAGGGAAAAGTCTGCAGTAAACTCGAGCTCTGACAGGCATACTGTGTTACAGTCCAACATCTTTGAAAAGAAAAAAAAAAAAAAAGAGATATAATGACAATAAAACGAAGAAACACAGCATAAAGTAAAATAATAACATGTATTTATCAAGGCATTGCTTGTGTTACTGGCTGTTTCAAACAGCATTATTTAAACATATGTCCATAACAAAAAGTCCAGAATAGAACATAGTTTTGATCATACAGTCTTGTTTCCAGCCACATGAGAAGCACCGCACACCACACACGGTATGATTTCACCAAGAAAATTTAGCTGTCAGATGGAATATCTCGCCAAAACTCTCGAGATCAAATGTAAATTCGGAGTAAACAAACATTGGTGGACAAAAGGGGTGCAATGGTGATAGTGTGTGGGCTCATTCTATTAAAGAAAAACATTTATTAAAGAAAAAGTTGTTGGGTAAACCAGTAGAGACAGAACATGTAGGGAATCTATATACTACACTATGATTTGGAAGTAAGTGGTCTTTTATTTATGGTCTTAAGAAACACAAAAACACAGTTTAGCTTCTCTGGTAGATTATAGTTTAAATCAACCAGCATATATTTTAATACATACATTTATATGTATGCATAGAGAAGTACCCATTATCAGGATCATAACGATCAAATTTCTATAGCAAACAAACTGTTCTTTAAACAGAATTTAACAATGAAATCAAATGAGGTGTTTACACATCCATGTTATACATTGACTTATTAAATAAAAAAAATAAATAAATATATATATATACATATATATATATATATATATATGTACAATAAAAAAAAAACTTTAAAATCTAAAGTTTTCTTTGAAGCAGAGATTCGTTCAGTTCGGTATATAGACAATTTCCCGATTCACATATTTTATAAAACACCTGAACTGACGGTTTGTTTGTTTTGTTTTTTTCTTTTTTAGGGCTTAATGAAAGTGGGCTTTAGGCTTTAAACCTGGGTTTGAATGGCGACAAAGCCATTCTAAAGCACATATCAAGGTGCTCATTTGTGAGCCTGGATCCATATTTATTTTTGATTCTGCTCATGGTGGAGAATCCTGCTTCACAGCAGTAGGTTGAGCCAAACATACTCAAAATGTGCAGGGTCATCTTTTTATTTTTTTATTTTTTTTATTTTATATACTCTAATAATCCCAGAGGGAAATTACTTCTCTGCATTTAACCCATCCCCTTGGGGAGCAGTGGGCTGCCATTGTGAGGCGCCCACGGAGCAGTGTGAGATTAAGGGTCTTGCTCAGGGACCCAGAGTGGCAGTCTGTGGGAGTGGGGGATCGATCAGGATTCAAAGCCCTATGCCCTAACCACTAGGCTGCCACTCCCCCCCCCTATGAGCATGCCACTTCACTTTTCTGTCACCAGTTCACCACGGTTCTTCCAGCAGTCCACTCTTTCTATTTTCTCTTCGTCTTTTCCTTCTTTCCCATCCCTGGCTTGACACAGGTTTGCCTGCTGTGTCTAAAAGTAGCTTGCAGCAACAACCCCTGACTGGCAACTCATTGGCCAATTTGTATTATGTGTAGCCTTGGTGCCGGCCGCTCTGGAGGGCTTTACAGTACAAACAGGAAAAGAGGTCTGAAATTAGACACTGCCTGCGGACAACATGCGGTAAATTATAAATGTTTTAAATCAGGTTGGGTCTGGATTAGCCAGCAGGTGGGTCCAGATCCGGACTGCGGTCTGCAAATCTGTGACCTCTGCTGCGTGTTTAATGGATATATAAGTATGTTTCTACACCTTACAGGATTAAAATCAGGGGGCAAGATTCAAGTTAAAGATTTATCAAATTTAAGAAAAAGAATTATAACAATAATAATCTTTATTTGCTTTTACAACTTTAGATCCTTACAAGGATTTATTTTCCTCTTCATTTAACCCATCCTCTTGAAGAACAGTGGGCTGCCTGCATTCAGGGATCCTAAGTCAATGTCTGTGAAACCAGGGAACTGCAGCCCTCTTTGGAAGCAACCCCCATAATATAACCATTAGGCCACACTAATATAAACTACAGTGAGGAAAATAATTATTTGAACATCCTGCTATTTTGTAAGTTCTCCCACTTAGAAATAATGGAGGGTTCTGAAATTGTTATCGTAGGTGCATGTCCATTGTGAGAGATATAATCTATAAAAAAAAAATCAGAAATCCCCATATGTTTACGTAAGGCCGTAATACATGCTTGTCCCCATTTTCACCCACCGGCGGTGAGTCTGACAGTGGAAAAATTGCAAATCTTCTTATGAAAAAGTAAGCTTGCACGAGCAATGCAAACAGCAACTTTTAAACAGAGCGTGCATGAGGAGATATGGGCTCATGCATGCTCTCACATGTGTTTAATAGGTGTTCTCTCTCAAGAGCGGGTACAGGGTTGTGATTTTTTTTTAAGTGGAGAGTGGTGGGTCTTTTCAAAGAATTCAAAGAAATCCTCCACTATACCTTTAAGTATTGTAATATAGTGTTATTGGATTTTTTTTTTTTTTTGTATTTTTTGGTAAGTTAGATTAGCTCCCCTTTGAAATGTCACAAAATAGATTGTACTATGCAATGAGGACAAAATAATTTATCTGAATTTAGCATCAACTTATCTAGACTTTTTCTATCTGTTCAGGAGATATCAAAAAACAAAAATCCAAGTATAACAGTTTCATTTATCAAAATGTAAGCATATGAGTAATTACACTCACATTTTGTAGACTTTCAACTGTCGTAAATTATCACATAAACTTAATTTCCCAAAAACCATCTGTTACATCTGAACAATAATTGGTAAAATAGTTTCATTTTAGTTGTTTTATTTTTAATTAATCTGACCAATATAATGCTTTGATGCCAACTGTTACAAATGGTTTAAAAGTTCTATAAAGTATAAGAGTCTAAGCGTCCATTAAAAAGATTATAAATCAAAACAAGCTCTTATACAGTATTAGCATATTACTGGAAGTGTAGAGTTGAGGTGCACATTAGCCTACTTAGTATCAGAGAAAATGCCCACTTTTTGCAAAAAAAATTCTTCTAATAGCAAACTTTTCTCTGTATTGTGCACAGAAGAGAAAAAATTCCCACTAAATCCAAGGTCTTGGTCTCTGATTTATTGTGTGTGATGTTTCCAGCGTTTTATTGTCATTACATTGTCAATTACAAGTACAGTGCAATGAAATTCACACTCTGCATTTAACCCGTCCCGTTGGGGAGCAGTAAGCTGCCATTTGGGACGCCCAGGGAGCAGGGTTAAGGGTCTTGCTAAACCCGGGCTTACACTGTCCGATTTTTTGCCCTTTTCGGGCCAGCTTCCCAGTCGTGCGAGATTGGGCCAACTATGGAAGTAAATATGTGCCATCAGAATTTGAATAAAAAATACCTCTGAAATTTGAATGTTGTATATTAGTGCTTACTTTTTCAGTATTAAAATAAATTCAGAATATATTTTTAACATAAAAAAAATTCAAAGTCATTATTTGTACATTGAAAAAAAAAAAATTCAGTGTAATTTTTTTTACATGGTTGCAATTTTCAGTTATTAAAAAATTCCCATTCCTATTTCAAAGTGATCAAATTTTCAATATACATATTTTTCACAGTTTAAATTTTCAGTGTTAAAAAATTCAGCATATAAAAAATTAAACTTTTCAAAATTCAAATGCAATATTTTCGTTGTCCTCCAATTCAACTTGCTCAAATTCACTGTCTCAAATGCAGCGTCTAAAAATTCGCTGTAAAAATGGCCAAGGTTACTTCAGGTCACAGACATTAGCAATGGATGTCCGATTCCAACATCCACCTAATCACGTGACACAACCGTCATATTGAAGAAGTACCAGTATCACCCAGGCTGGCGACCATGGAGGCGAACTCAAACCCAACGGTGAGTTTAATGCTTTCATATTTCTGTAGTATATTTTATTTTGCCCATGAAGTTTGATACATTATCTTAAAGCCTGATTTAAAACACTGGTTTGGGCCGTTGTTATTCTTACACCGTGTAGTGCCGGCATATTACTTCTCGCTACCTCCGAGCACCCCCCCCTCCCCCTCCCCCCCACCAAATTTCCCCCGTTTTATTTCAAAAAGAAATACCACTTTTCCAGGCAGTCTTAGTAAAGTCGTAATTTTTCAGGAGATGCTACCGCTAATGTAGTAAGCTAATATGGCTGCCTTGTGTGCTTCAAAGAGGGGCTGTGAACAGTTCCGACCCCACTCTGATCAGCTACTGTATTGTTAGGTGACTTAAGTTATGAATTAATTAAGAAATTTATGGTCATTACAACATCATTCAAAATACCAGTTACCTACCAAATTGTAGATTTATTTGTGCTTGATATAATTTCTACAATTTTAATGGGAGAGGAGCACAGTAGGCATCGACTGCCTGTCTCAGTCTCACCTAAGACAACATACAAACAACCCAGAAAGTCACCACCCATCAGTTCTCTTTAAAGATTCTAGACTTGGCGCAAGTGGTATTTCTTTTTGAAATAAAACGGGGTAAATTGGGTGGGGGGGGGGGGGGAGGGGGGGTGCTCGGAGGTAGCGAGAAGTAATATGCCGGCACTACACGGTGTAAGATTAACAACGGCCCAAACCAGTGTTTTAAATCAGGTTTTAAGATAATGTATCAAACTTCATGCGCAAAATAAAATATACTACAGAAATATGAAAGCATTAAACTCACCGTTGGGTTTGAGTTCGCCTCCATGGTCGCCAGCCTGGGTGATACTGGTACTTCTTCAATATGACGGTTGTGTCACGTGATTAGGTGGATGTTGGAATCGACATCCATTGCTAATGTCTGTGACCTGAAGTAACCTGTGCCATTTTTAGTGAATTTTTAGACGCTGAATTTGAGACAGTGAATTTGAGCAAGTTGAATCGGAGGACAACGAAAATATTGCATTTGAATTTTGAAAAGTTGAATTTTTTATATGCTGAATTTTTTAACACTGAAAAGTTAAACTGTGAAAAATAGGTATATTGAAAATTTGATCACTTTGAAATAGGAATGTGAATTTTTTTGATAGCTGAAAATTGCAACCATGTAAAAAAAATTACACTGAATTTTTTTTTTAATGTACAAATAATGACATTGAATTTTTTGTAGGTTAAAAATATATTCTGAATTTATTTTAATACTGAAAAAGTAAGCAATAATATACAACATTCAAATTTCAGAGGTATTTTTTATTCAAATTCTGATGGCACATATTTACTTCCATAGGGGTGTGAGTAAAATGGAGTTCTTTCTTTCAAATTGACAGACCGTATTAGCCAAGTTTGCTCAGCCATGTCTTTGTCCAAATACGTTGCCGCCTTTAATTTAATTTTTCAGCACAAAAAATTGCACTAATTGCCAAGGCAGCATGTTTCACTCTGGTGAGCTTCATATTCCTCTCCTACTCGTTTGGTTTTCCGATAGAGGAGTACGAGTAGCGCTATCTCACTGCGGAACCTTAGTCCAACGTGGTTTTTAGACGCACAGGGTGAGCAGGTAGATCGGATCAGAGCGTCTTGCTGCACAGTGTGAGAACATACACCGTGAGCTGTGAACTCACACTGTACGACAAAACTCTGCAGCTTCGTCGTACAGTGTGAGCTGTAGCTGTGTGTAATGAGTGAAAAAAAGTGAAAAGTGTATGCCCGGCTTAAGAGAGCCAGAGTGGCAGTCTGTGGGAGTAGGCTTTAAACGCACAATCTCAGGATTCCAAGCCCTATTCCCTGATCACTAGGCCGCCACTCCTGCCAAAAAGACTTCTTTCTCAATCTACTCATTCCCACCAGATGAGTAGATATGGGAAAAACTGAAAGAGAAATTAGTTAGTTCTATTGTTTTACCCTTTTACCCTTTAACATAAGTGAAACCAAAGACTTGGCTGCTGTCAGAAAAATATTGTTTGTTAAAATGTGGCTCCGTTAAAAACAACAGCATAGTCAATGTATTTAATGAGGACAAGCAGGGACCCAAAATGACAGCAAGTTAAGCTGTTTTGACTTTAGAAAACTCATCTATTTAGCAGGAATTTATAATTCTAGAAAACCACTCTCAATTTTACGGAATTGCAGCCAGCTCTAATGGAATGCTATTGGATCGTATCAACGGGAGGCAATAGATGAGAGTCCTTGTAATTTGGGCAGAGGGGGTGACAATTTGTCACTTGAGGGGAGAAGCTATCGATTAGAGAATTCAAATTCCATTACATCAAAGTTCCCCCCTCATTCATCACCTGCCCTGATGGGTGAAAGACGCAACACTTATCAGAGGCGCTAACTGGGAAAGGAATACAGCTCCAGCCTCGTATGAAGAGCCAGGAGCAAAGGGTGTCCCTTTTGGTTCTTAGATGTGGCATTATTTCACTTGATTTGTTTGTGGGTGTGTGGGTTTTATCTCAGAGAAACAAATGCAAACACTTTATTACAACCCCTCTATTTAAAGTCTGCTGAGAGTAATTTAGTTTTCCTAAGAGGGACCTAAACAAGGATTAGTCAGATCCATCACCCAGCTCTACAGCATCACAACAAACACCTCCCTAAACTTTGTGGCTCTATGTCTAGGTCAACAGCTAACTCTATCTAACAGCCTAAACCTTAAAACTTAATATTTCCATGTCTGCATAACACACGGGGGAAACACATAATTGCTTGTCAATGCTGCTTTCTGATAACATGTTTAATGCTTTAAGATTCCCCTTAACTGAAAAGCTTTCTAGGACAGCAGTGTTGTTTGTATGCTATGGGAACATAGCTATAACCTAACCACAGCTGGGCTTCTATTCTCTGGACCATTTTCTAAGACACTCAACTTGTATTAGTATTTTTTTCTGTTTATTTTACTGTTTTAGAGATTGACTTGCTTGTCTGCTTCAGATAAATTTCCTACTGCATAATGGGTGAAAAAATGATGGCCTGGAATTTTCCATTGTGTTCTTACAGAGTAGCAGGATTAATGCTTTACTCAATTACAGTAACCTGACCAGTTAACTGTTTAATAGCTGACATTTTTCGAAAGTCTGAGGTCCACAGAATAAGAAAAATCTTGCTACTAGAAAAAAAGTAGCTTTCCTACATTTCAAGTTCTGAGCTCAGTCCTGCTGAAGTCAGGACGACTGTCACATATGTGGCTTTGTTAGGAGTTAAAGTCTCCTTGCAGAAAGTACAATTTGAATACAAACCAGACCAACCAAATAAACATAAAAGTAAACATAATAAAATTCACTCAATGTTTGACCAAACAAGCCGATTACAGGAGTTTTCTGTTGTGAACACACCCTTGGTAAGTGGTTGAGCAGCCTGCAAACTAAATAAGATTCTTCAGATTTGTTCTGATTTGTTGATAAAAAAATTCTCATACCTGTATGACGGCAGGTTCAGATATGAGTGTCTCTGCATTCACTACTTCCACCACAGCCTCAGGCACCACAGCACTCTTCATGCATGCCATATTGAAGCCATAAACATCATCCCAGAATCCAATACGACTTTGGTGCTTCTCTGCATCTCCCACAGCAGCCAGGCTGATGTTACAGAGATCTGGATACACTAAAAAAAGAAAGAAAGAGAGACCCTTTTTAAGACGGAACAAGGCCTCTATTTCAATACTTCCAGAAAATATAAAGAAGAATACACTTACATCATTAAAAGCTATCTGAAAATGTGTTGCTTAGCATTGGCATGTGGAAAATATCTCAAATGTTGTTTTCAGAGATCCACGGAAATACATTCTTTAAAATTTTAGCCTTTATTTTACCCTATGCAAAATATCATTTATCATAACTAGAGAAATGGGTGGAAAGTTCACATCGCAAAAAGATTTGTTTTAATTCAACACATTTAATGACTACAAACAGATTCAACAAATTCAATCAGAACAGTAAGGGATGAAGTGGGTGTGGACTTTTACATCAATTTTATAAATGTGCTGTAATGACTGTATTCATCACTCTTGTACAAACAATGGCCTGATGACCATTTTGTCCTACTTTATTTTTTCATACTTTATTTTGCAGTCTAAGAAGGTAGAAGGGGGTCACCGCAACAGTTACATAACTTTGCTCAATACAGGAAAATAAAATCCACAAAATGTATTTATTCTTTATTCTGCATGTTTAAAATTCGATTTGTCAATTCAATACACAAATGGAGTTAAATCTTAGATCTCAGTGCCTTTCATGCTACTACTGCTGTCAGCTTTAGTTCTAGATGTTCTGCAAAACCAAGTAAAAAAAAACAAACAAAGAAATGTAAATGACTGCCATGCATCGCTCCTAATATTAAATAGATACCTTTACTTGGAATCTTATTATACATTCTTATTATACATTATTATACATATCTTATTATACATTAATCATATTGGAATGTTTTTGTCCCTGTAGAGATGAATTAACAATCAGTTTGTTTCAGGGAAACTAAACTATTCTTGATAGTGTTTTTCTATTCCAGTGTCTCTTAATTTATAACATTATTTTAATCTTATTTTATATCAATTATTTATTAACCGCAGTATTAAGCTTGTATACAAACAATTTTACTGTTAGTTTTCGTATTTTGTATTAGTATGCCTCTTAAAATGTAGATCTACAATCAAATATAAGATGCCTGATTTAAATGAATAACTGGACAATGCCAGTCATTGTGGTAATTTTCACAAAAATGTTTTTCTTTATTCTAGGTAGATGTTTCGAGGGGCTGCAGGTCTTTAATAACTGCAAGGTAGGTAAACGTAATATTTTACTTCTTTATCCACTTTTGCCAAAGTCCTTTTCATCCAGTTATGTCCTGGTCATGAAGATCACACAGGAACTGTTCTGTCATACATATTAATATTTGAAAAACTAATTCCAATGTCACAATATGCATATGTTTTTGTTCAGTATTACTACTGTACCCAGTAGTTATACTCAACACATGACTCTGTGGAAAAGTTGTGAGAAAAATTAAAAATAAAAAAAAGAACCTTCAGCATCGAATTGGGTTTCTTCAACCATGTCAGCTCTCCCTTTAAAAAAAATATAAACTTAGTTTAGCAACATGCACCATTCCTGCTTTAAACCTGCTGTTGTGAAACGCTGCAAAACATTTCTTAGTACATCTAAATGAAATGCACCAAATCAAGTGTTTTTTGTTATTGTTGGGTAATAAACCATGCAGTATAAAGCACAATGTTAAAGCTTATAATTGCTATTTCTGTTTTCCTTTCAATCAATACTTTTTAGATAATAAAAATTGAATTAATCTAATTCCCTATTTATTTTTAAATCAGATAAAATAATGCAACCTACTTTTATTTACTGACCTATTAGGCCCTAGAGCAATCGTGCTAATAAATGTTACAAAATCGATGATCAAATTACTCTGTTTTAAGCGAGTTTTTCTAAAGAAAAAAAAAAGGAGATATAATAAAGGTAATGATTAATGGCTTTACCTTTATCACACAACATCTGTTGAATCGTAGTGAATTACTACTGAAAATAATTCTTCTAAGAAATGAAAGCAAAAAATAGATAAATAGCTATTAAATTGTATTTCTAATTTATTGTAGCACAGCAAGCTGAGGTCAGATGCAGTTTTAGATTTCATATACAGTTTGTGGAGACTTGTTTTTTCCTTCAGTTATACAAATAAATATCATTATGCAGCAGATGTAAGAGACAATTTTAGGACACTTGCTTTAGGTTTTGTATTACAGATAACTGAATAAAATAACTCTAATAAATTAGGTTTTTATACCTCCAAGAGGGACATAGCATTTTTGTATCGCATTGTTTTCTTTATAGCTTTTCTCTGTGTCGGCTTACACTGTAAATGACTGAATGAATAATTCATGACCTAAAATGAACATTAAATGCAAACTTTAATGTTTGGTCATTGAATTTCAGATCTAAATTTCTTAGATCAGTGGTAAAAAGACATAGCATTAATAGATAATATCCTCTGCAATTAGATACTAGACGCTCGAAGCCAAATATACTCCTGCTGTGAAGTAGCATTAGCCAATACTGAGGCCTTCGGCCCAAAGTAAGGGTTTGACTACATTCATGAAGAGAAGTCAAAACTAAACAAATTTAAAAGTTGAAAGAACGCATCACAAAGAAAAATGAATTTATCATACAATACTATGTAATAGAATATATAACTAGTATTTCCAAAAAATATGCAGTGGTTATAAAACTCAAGATTATTCATTTTAAATAAATCTCAGTTAAATAATGTCTACCAAAACTGGAAAATATAAGGTACTTTAGGATTGACCACCAAAATATTTTTCAGTTATTTCACACACTAAAGTTTTCATTTATTACATAAAATTAATGATAGCACAGAGAAGCAGATTTAATTGATGCAAAACACCCATACATTTGTTAATAACAAAGATTAAGATTAGAATTGACTAATATATAAAAACCTAGTTTTAAATATAAATATATATATATATATATATATATATATATATATATATATATATATATATATATATATATATGTATATATATATATATATATATCAGAAAACATGCATTTAAGATAATTTTGGTTTCTAAGATGAAACATTCACTACTGCTTTAAATTTCAATGACAGAGATGCCAAAGCTTAAGGAAAGACAAGTTTATTTATATAGCACATTTCAGTGGTAAAAAAAATTCAGTGCCCTGCCCAAGAAAAGAAGAAAACCTAAAGTAAATTGTGACATAAAGGTCACACACAAAAATTCTATAGAAATAAAAAGGAGAATTTTTTTAAGTCCTTGACCACATCTTAAACAGGGGTGCCAATATTTGCGGGGGCACTGCATATGATTACATAAAAAAATTACAGTTGAAAACTTTACTACTTGTGTTTATAAATAACAATAAAAGGCCACTCTGAAAAAAATCTGTTTTTAATCTCGAATTAAGGCCACTTAGTGTTTCATTGCTTAAGGGGTTTCTGGGAGCTTTTCCACATTAGTGAATCATAGCACATACAACCTGCTTCTAACTTTCTAAAAACAAAACATAAAAAAATACATATTAAAGATCCAAAACAATAATGAAAATTAAGCACTTATGCACTAAATGCCTGTAAAGGTACAAAGGAGGAACCAATGTGGGACATAGCTGGTAGTTTTGTCTTGGCATCCCAAACTAGAATATGATTTAAAAAATAGAATAAAAAAGCCTGTAAAGAAATATTGTTCTTCTTAATGACACAATTGCTTATTTCTGTCAAGGCAATTCTGTTTGTATAGCACAATTCAGTACAAAGGCAATTCAAGGTGCTTTACATTAATTAAAGAGTAAAATAGAATACAATAATTGCAGAATGAAAGGAAATGAAGATTGAAAACTTTTATAAAAGCAGATGGCGAAAAAAACTAAACAGTTGGACTACAGTTAAGGGTTAAACAGTCAGAGGGTTTTCTAAAAAAAAAAAAAAAAAAAGAGGTTTCAAAAGAACTCAGGCTTTCAGCCCTTTACAGTCTTCAGGAAGTTCAATCAAGACAAGTGGAGAATAGGAACTAAATGCTACTTTGCTTCTAGTTCAAGTTCTAGTTGCTTCGAGGTTGATAAACTCATAATTTTTAAGTGTTGAGGTGAATATCCATTCATTGATATATAGACTAACGGAAGGATTTTATAGTATATTCTCTGAGCTACAGAAAGTAAGTGTAAGGACTGCTTGGACATTAGTCCTTTAATCGTGGAAATGTTCTTCGGGTGATAAAAGGCTGACTTAGTAATGGCCTTTATGTGTCTATGAAGGTTCAGGTCTGAGTCTATCATCACACCAACATCTTGGCCATAATCAGTGGTTTCTAGCTTTAATAGCTGAAACTGTGAGTTAACTCTTGACCTCTCCTGCTTTGGTCAGTATATTATTACCTCAGTTTTTTTTTTTTTTTTTTCCCAGTTGTAAAAAATGATGGAACATTTACCTATTGATCTGTTCTATACATCTAACCAATGCTCTGACGGGTTCATAGTCACCTAGTGATTTTGTGATGTAAAGGTGTATGTCATCTGCATACTTACAGTAACTGATATTGTTGTTTGCTATAAACTGACATAAGGGGATAAGGGGCCCCAAGAATGGAGCCTTGCAAGTGATTTTTCTGATTTCAAAATTTTCTCTTGTGGTCAGAAAATTTAGATTTCTCTCATTTCATATACTGATTTATGCTATTTACACACTGAAAAATGTTTTTACTCATTCTGGTGAAAAGAAAGTGCTGATTTCCTTGGTATTGCTACTTTTTCCTATAATAATGGGCTTTTCATCAAGAAGTACTATTGGGAACAGCATAATACCAATAAAACCAAGAGGAAAATGAGCTAAACTGTGCCCATACAACAAGAATTTTGTCTCATACAACGAGAATTTTATTCAGAAAAGACTTTTCAACTTTCTGATTAATTAAGAAAAGAAACATACCATAAAATAACTTTTATTTGTGACTAACTCCAATCGACATGTCAGATAAAGATGCTGGAAATAAAAAGTGAGCCTACTCATAAACATCATTCGGTTTGACCGTCTCTTCACATTCATCTCGCTCAAA